GAGTTTCAATCAATGATTTTGGCTGTCCAAAACTGTTTCTACAAAATATTTTCGGCTGCCAGAATCTTGGTGCATCACTAGTTTTCTCTGGCCTTGAAAGTCAGCTATATATTGAACTACATATATTTTCTGTTGTAATTTATCATCATAGCTAGCATGCAGGTTTGCAAGGTGCTCCAGCATGGATCCTCAAGCCTTCATTTGTGCTGAACACTTAAGTCATTTTAAAAGGGTCCAGTTCACAGTCTGCTTCGATCATATATAATCTAAAATGAGTGTGAACAACTCTCAGAGTGTAAAAACCTCTAAGAGTGAGAATGAAACTATTAATTGTTCCTCTGTGGCTTTAAACAAACCATGAGAGCAACTTCTTAAAGGAGACTGACCCAACAATTAACCTTTTGTCACTCTGGATGGAAAGCATCAGCAATATGACAGCTTTCGATTTCAAATTATTGTAGTGTTTCTGAGTCTCTGAGAGAGAAGGGTTCTGGTAATATTATGGATAATAACATGTCTATGTATACACAGTAGGGTTGCACGATTAATCGAATGCGATTGTCATGCGCATTTTGATAGTAATGCCGGTTCTGTAATCAGCAGGAAATCATCATCACGTGCTTTCAGATGGAGCAGAATTTACTACACATAGCCATAGTTCACTGACAAGTTGCGCCAAAAAAAAAATCGACGATTTTATTGCACGATTACGAAATCGAAGAAATCGTTCGTGCTAATGACAGCTGTATGCATAGCTTCTCAGTGAACTACTGCTCTGTGAAGTTAATGCTGCTCCATCTGAAAGCATGTGAAAATACCACATTTAAGAACATATTAGTCGAGTGTTTGAAATAAATCCTTCTGTGAGATGATGTGGCTTCTTACACAGAATAAGGCACGCGACATATTTCATAGTACTTAAGCAGTGATATAGGCATTGCATTATAAATATACTTTATTTTAATGAAACTTATAATAATAAGAACTCAAATAAACCGTATATTGCCATAGTCGTGTGTTTATTAGTCACGTTGAATCAATGAAAGCAGTTGAATCTTCTGTTTATTCAGCTGCAGCGATTTTCTGGGTTTCTTCTGCGAGGCGTATTTGGAGTTTCAGCGCAAGAGCGCCCTCTGGCCTTTGGATGGAGATTTACTGCTGATCACAGAACCGTGCTTCACTGAAAGATACGCATGACAATCGCAGCTTCTGTCGAATCGCGATCTCAATTCCATTTCGATTTATCGTGCAACCCTAATACACAGAATAAATACCGCATTAGTGTTTGCTCCTGCTGAAACACAGTATGAGCAGTCCATGACATTTTTTGCACAGCCACTTAACTCCAAAAACAAACGCAGTCAATCATGACCACAGTCTCAGCTACAGTGTACTACGGTCTGACACAAAAGAACATTGATGTTGCAAAGTCTGCCTCTGTTTTTATCCATCACCGTACAATCTGACAAGCAACAATCGCATAAAGGCAAGGGAAAAAACAACGTGCACCATAAATGTGAGATCATTCTGTCTCAGAATATGGAATATGGAGTTCACTCACAATGAGGGGAAAACAAAACATCTCTTTTATTCATAGGCCCAAACTTATATAGAGTTTGGTGCATGACTTTTGTTATTTATATGTTCATAAAGTAAGGCAAAATTCTGATAGGTTGTACTGTACATCAATTAGATCTCTTTAACAACTTACACAAATTGCATAGCATTAGTAAGATATTTAAATTAGGGATGCACGATATATCGGCCACCATATCGGTATCGGCCCATATCGGCTCATTTTTTCTGTTATCGGTATCGGCCTGATAAGAAAATTTGGCCGATATCTTAAAGCCGATAAATAATGCATTATTTCCTTCAGAGACACTTCAGATGCGCGCTGTTCGTTTGCAGCCTTTTGTGCAATTGTACATTGTAATATTGTGTTTATTTGATGTATATCTGATTTATCTCATATAGAATGCGTTTGGTTAAGTTAAAAGAGCGCTTCAGTTTACCAGTGATCATCTTTAGCTCAGCACACGCAGCCCAAACAGCAGTGCACAACATTAATAACTATGATTGGGAATGTCATGTATATAACATTCTAATGAGAACATTATTATAATAAAACGTTGGGAATTCTTTGGGTTTAGTTGCCGTGTTTCAGCGCGTTGTTATGGGAAGAGCGCATCCACAACAGGATCACACATTCTGACTATAGCACGCAAGAACTGCATCATTTTGTACATATATAAGTTGTAATATTATGTTTATGTTGTATTAATATTAATCTCAGGATGCATTTCCTTGAGTTAAATAAGCTGCCAGCAAAACGCTTCAGTTTACCATGTTCATTCAGCTCTTCAGCTTCAGCACGCGCAGCTCAACGGCTGCTATTTAAAACAGTGGTATTAATTTGTTACTTTTTCAAAATCATCGATACATTATTAATAACAACAACCACTTGTATTGTTCTCTTATTATTTTCATCAACAATATGGTTTAGTAATTAAAATCATTTAATTATTGTCCGTGCAGAGGCTATTCCGTTTTATTGATCTATGGCGCATTCATTTTGATTCTTTACACGTGTAATGATGTCCAGTGACTTGTTTGCATTATTTATGCATAATTTTATTTATTTGTAAGGCTTTTTTATGACTAAATTTGGTAATGGGAGAGTAAAAATATTTTTTAAACGTACACCGTTCAAACTAGGCTGCTTATGTTGAAGTGTTTGGGATGTGGCTTTTAATGATGAGACCTTTTTTGTAATCAGGCTCTCAAAAAGTATATAACAATTTGGATATAGATTTATCGGCCAACATATCGGTTATCGGCTTTCAAAAATAAAGAATAATCGGTTATCGGTATCGGCCAAAATTTTCATATCGGTGCATCCCTAATTTAAATGGTTTATGATCAAAGCTTTGTGGTTTCGAATGTGGAGGGCAAAATATATCATTCAATGAAAAGCGAGATGGACACACAATTGTTCCTCAAAAGCCTATGGACCATATTAAAACTTAATAATCACTTCAGTTACTTCAGTTCAGTAGGCTACATGTTCATCATGACATACTTACAATATAAAAGTTAGTTTACTTTATAAAACTCATGAAATATCTCACAGCAAAAAGAGCATCACGACCTGAAGGCGGACGTTTTTAGAATCAAGTTATTTTTACTTGCTAAAAGGTATGAACCAATTAAGAGTGCAGAAAGCATGTAGTGGAATAAGTCAAACCAGTTTTTCAGTAAAGTTTTGATCATGTTGACAGTTTAGATGCCATCGAAATTGATGTATCAAATATCATACAGTACACTCTAAAAAAATGCTGGGTTAAATACAACCCAGTGCTGGGTAAAATAGGGACGCACCCAGCAATTGGGATGTTTTGACCCAGCGGTTGAGTTACTACCCAGAAGGTTGGCTTAACATTTAACCCAACCGCTGGGTCAAAACAACCCAATTGCTGGGTTTGTCACTATTTTACCCAGCATTTTTTTTTAGAGTGTAGGCTTTATAGGGTTAAATAAAACAAAGTTCTTTAGATTTGTTTTTCAACACTTTGCCATGTCTTTGTTGAATGGAAAGACGTGCACGAATTGATTTCCCTCACTACAAGATTTTGAAGATATTAATTTTCTTTCGACAGGTAAAGAGTTAAATGAGTGTAATAAGGGATAGGGAACACCACTTTACAGCATCGTTTTGTGTGCAGACGTGCGCTTTTCAGATGACCTGCTGCTTCCTTCGGCATTTGCGCATGTAAACACGCTCATGTGCTGTAAATGAGAGCAGCGTGGAGCACCTGTAGACTCCACACAATTACGCACAGCTCAAGCAAGACACGTAAAGTCCGGTTTCCTCTGCATCCGCTTTCCACAACACAGGAAGAGCTCTCCGGCAGATCCTTATGAAAGCGCACGCACACATACAGAGAGAGAGCACCGGATCGCTCTCTACTGACCCCAAACCTCGCGGCTAAATGTGGAAATCAATGCAACGGAGTGCGCTTAAATCGCCATTTAGAGATCAATGCGTGTGGCTTGGAAACTAACTGTAACAAGCAGCCGCGCATGAGTCACCGCGCGCTGTTTACATGTACACGCGACAAATACAGTAGGTGTGTGTGCTGAGATTTACTCAGTGAATAAAACACTCATATATCAAACGAAACCACATTATAAGACCTGTTATGAAAACATAAGCTTGTGCGGTGTGTTAAGAGACGTGCGCTTTTCAGATGACCTGCTGCTTCCTTCGGCATTTGCGCATGTAAACACGCTCATGTGCTGTAAATGAGAGCAGCGTGGAGCACCTGTAGACTCCACACAATTACGCACAGCTCAAGCAAGACACGTAAAGTCCGGTTTCCTCTGCATCCGCTTTCCACAACACAGGAAGAGCTCTCCGGCAGATCCTTATGAAAGCGCACGCACACATACAGAGAGAGAGCACCGGATCGCTCTCTACTGACCCCAAACCTCGCGGCTAAATGTGGAAATCAATGCAACGGAGTGCGCTTAAATCGCCATTTAGAGATCAATGCGTGTGGCTTGGAAACTAACTGTAACAAGCAGCCGCGCATGAGTCACCGCGCGCTGTTTACATGTACACGCGACAAATACAGTAGGTGTGTGTGTGCTGAGATTTACTCAGTGAATAAAACACTCATATATCAAACGAAACCACATTATAAGACCTGTTATGAAAACATAAGCTTGTGCGGTGTGTTAAACAATAGCAAAAGGACCACACCATCCAAGCCAGCTTTCTTTTACACCTCCCATTTAGACAAACACTTAATTCATAAACACAAACAGCAACAGCCAGAGTTGTTCCCTGCTCAAACCGACACATACTTCCTCTTCATACCGATAATAACACGTCAAAGAAAGTGAAATCCATCTATTAATCTCCTGAAGCGCAGTAGTTGTTGCTAATGGCCTAAATACACCACAACACTCCTCCATTCACAAACACAGCAGCTTACCAGCTTTATCCTGGTCGTATCCCACCACTATGAAATAATCAGCCAGTCTAGCCATGGTTTCCTCTTTTGGCGAAATTCTGCAACACAATTCAGCATTTTTCTTTCTTCTAAAGCACAGCCATGTTTGACACAGAGGGAGCCAGTGCGCCTGCGTGGACTGGCGGTTGTGCGTTCATGGGCGTGGGTCCTGCATTCACTGACACCAGCGATAAAGCATACTACACTCTCAGTGAAAGGATTTTCCTTGACGTGAATAATGCCATGTAATGTTATAATAATGCAAAATGAATTAGTTTATGTATGTAGTTAGTTAGTCTTACTGTGGACTATGCAAAAGTATGATGAGTTAATAGATTCGTGATGGAGCACAGATGAGCATCATGCCTTCAGAATTAGTTTTTTGTGATGCCACAGTGTTTCAAAAGAATATTTCATACAATATGTGGTAATAATAAACAGCTGGTCACTACATTTTTTTTCTCAGGTGGGAGAGATGTATTCCAGCTCATCTAGATCCTTTGGACCAGCTAATGACCATAAATGATCCAGTTAACAGTGTTGGGGGTAACGCATAATTACAAGTAACGTGAGTTACGTAATCAGATTACTTTTTTCAAGTAACTAGTAAAGTAATGCATTACTTTTTCATTTACAAGAGAATATAGTTACTTTTTCAAATAAGTAACGCAAGTTACTTTTTTTGTTGCAATTTATTGACTGACAGCTCTCCTGTCCCCATGATGAGAGAAATCAGAAGATGTTATTGTAGTTCAAAATAAACATGAATATGCATTAATTCATCTCACTCACAAAAAAACAAACAAACAAAAAGATTCCGTATTCCTCAAAATGAGTAAAAATAATGCAACTCAGAATATGACGCAAACCTGCAATAATTAAATGTTATTTTGATCATGTTGACAGTTTAGATGCCATCGAAATTGATGTATCAAATATCATACAGTACACTTTAAAAAAATGCTGGGTTAAATACAACCCAGTGCTGGGTAAAATAGGGACGCACCCAGCAATTGGGTTGTTTTGACCCAGCAGTTGAGTTAAATGTTTAACCCAACCTTCTAGGTAGTAACCCAACTGCTGGGTCAAAACAACCCAATTGCTGGGTTTGTCACTATTTTACCCAGCACTGGGTTGTATTTAACCCAGCATTTTTTTTAGAGTGTATGCTTTATAGGGTTAAATAAAACAAAGTTCTTTAGATTTGTTTTTCAACACTTTGCCATGTCTTTGTTGAATGGAAAGACGTGCACGAATTGATTTCCCTCACTACAAGATTTTGAAGATATTAATTTTCTTTCGACAGGTAAAGAGTTAAATGAGTGTAATAAGGGATAGGGAACACCACTTTACAGCATCGTTTTGTGTGCAGACGTGCGCTTTTCAGATGACCTGCTGCTTCCTTCGGCATTTGCGCATGTAAACACGCTCATGTGCTGTAAATGAGAGCAGCGTGGAGCACCTGTAGACTCCACACAATTACGCACAGCTCAAGCAAGACACGTAAAGTCCGGTTTCCTCTGCATCCGCTTTCCACAACACAGGAAGAGCTCTCCGGCAGATCCTTATGAAAGCGCACGCACACATACAGAGAGAGAGCACCGGATCGCTCTCTACTGACCCCAAACCTCGCGGCTAAATGTGGAAATCAATGCAACGGAGTGCGCTTAAATCGCCATTTAGAGATCAATGCGTGTGGCTTGGAAACTAACTGTAACAAGCAGCCGCGCATGAGTCACCGCGCGCTGTTTACATGTACACGCGACAAATACAGTAGGTGTGTGTGCTGAGATTTACTCAGTGAATAAAACACTCATATATCAAACGAAACCACATTATAAGACCTGTTATGAAAACATAAGCTTGTGCGGTGTGTTAAGCAATAGCAAAAGGACCACACCATCCAAGCCAGCTTTCTTTTACACCTCCCATTTAGACAAACACTTAATTCATAAACACAAACAGCAACAGCCAGAGTTGTTCCCTGCTCAAACCGACACATACTTCCTCTTCATACCGATAATAACACGTCAAAGAAAGTGAAATCCATCTATTAATCTCCTGAAGCGCAGTAGTTGTTGCTAATGGCCTAAATACACCACAACACTCCTCCATTCACAAACACAGCAGCTTACCAGCTTTATCCTGGTCGTATCCCACCACTATGAAATAATCAGCCAGTCTAGCCATGGTTTCCTCTTTTGGCGAAATTCTGCAACACAATTCAGCATTTTTCTTTCTTCTAAAGCACAGCCATGTTTGACACAGAGGGAGCCAGTGCGCCTGCGTGGACTGGCGGTTGTGCGTTCATGGGCGTGGGTCCTGCATTCACTGACACCAGCGATAAAGCATACTACACTCTCAGTGAAAGGATTTTCCTTGACGTGAATAATGCCATGTAATGTTATAATAATGCAAAATGAATTAGTTTATGTATGTAGTTAGTTAGTCTTACTGTGGACTATGCAAAAGTATGATGAGTTAATAGATTCGTGATGGAGCACAGATGAGCATCATGCCTTCAGAATTAGTTTTTTGTGATGCCACAGTGTTTCAAAAGAATATTTCATACAATATGTGGTAATAATAAACAGCTGGTCACTACATTTTTTTTCTCAGGTGGGAGAGATGTATTCCAGCTCATCTAGATCCTTTGGACCAGCTAATGACCATAAATGATCCAGTTAACAGTGTTGGGGGTAACGCATAATTACAAGTAACGTGAGTTACGTAATCAGATTACTTTTTTCAAGTAACTAGTAAAGTAATGCATTACTTTTTCATTTACAAGAGAATATAGTTACTTTTTCAAATAAGTAACGCAAGTTACTTTTTTTGTTGCAATTTATTGACTGACAGCTCTCCTGTCCCCATGATGAGAGAAATCAGAAGATGTTATTGTAGTTCAAAATAAACATGAATATGCATTAATTCATCTCACTCACAAAAAAACAAACAAACAAAAAGATTCCGTATTCCTCAAAATGAGTAAAAATAATGCAACTCAGAATATGACGCAAACCTGCAATAATTAAATGTTATACAACACAAATATGCTTTATGTATTTATGCCAATGTCTTTGCTTCTGACCTTCGATGATCCAGTTCAACCGTACTAATAATCAAAAATTACTCTAGACAAACATTTGTGTGTCTTTTTTTATTGCTGAAGTGTTGAAATTTCTTCTTCTGCATTCTACTGTACGGACGTACATTTACTTTCCCTTCAGCCTGAGGCTTATTCATTTCACTTTTGGTGTGAAAAGGCTTTTATATTTGCCAAAAATATGATTTTTTTATTTTTAAATCAAACAAGCAAGCCCTGCCCAGATTTAAAAAGTAGCGCAAAAGTAACGTAACACATTACTTTCCATAAAAAGTAACCAAGTAACGTAATTAGTTACTTTTTTTTATGGAGTAACGCAATATTGTAATGCATTACTTTTAAAAGTAACTTTCCCCAACACTGCCAGTTAATAAACAAGTTATGCCAACTATCAATAAAAGGGTAACACGTGGACCATATGTAATCTCATTTATGCAGAATAGAACAGGAACGTGTATATCAGGAAATATGTAGACTAATTGTTGAATATGGCACTGTTCATATTAGCTCATAACGGGGAAAAAAGTCCATAGTCCATTAGAAAAGTTTTAAACACTAAATATTTGTTACAACAGACTCTCACAAATAATTTAATGAAATTTTAATTCAGTGTATGCGTTTTTGTAATTGACCATCCATTTGTCACTGAAAAACTAAAATAAACATAAAATAGTTGATTTATATTCTTAATTCTCGCTAATAATATTTATTCCCAAATGAAGTGCCTAAAAGCCAATTCATCAAAAAACAGCATATGCTGGTTAGGTATGTTTTGACGCTGGGATGCTGGTTTAAGCTGGTCCTTTGCTGGTTTGTGCTGGTCCTTTGCTGGTTTTAGCTGGTCCTTTGCTAGTTTATGTTGGTCCTATTGCTGGTTTATGCTGGTCATGTGCTGGCAAAGGACCAGTTTAAACCAGCAAAGGACCAGCATAAACCAGCAAAGGACCAGCTTAAACCAGCATCCCAGCGTCAAAACATACCTAACCAGCATATGCTGTTTTTTTCAACAGGGAAAAGATACAAAGTTGCAAGTTAGATAGATTTATAATTAAATAATTATGATAATCAGAATAAACTACTCTAATATAGGTCTTTAGCTTATCTGTACAACAAAATAATGCATAACCTTTACAAATGCACGACTCTGCTAGATATACATATACACGTGATGATACTTTGTTATATGAATGATACTTTGATACAGTGTTACTGAATGATTACCATATGCATGTAATATTGTATTTAACAAGGTACCACCAAAAATACCTTGGTAATTGAATGGTGATATTTGTTAGTGAAATAAATGAGATTCTCAAGGAATGTCTGTTTTCAAATTTCGGACTATTTTTCGTCTGTTTACACATGATCACTCCAAACCAACAACAGTACACTGTAAAAAATGACCGTGAATTTAACGGTAAAAGACTGTAAAAATGCTACAGTAAAAACCTGTTAAATGATTAACGTTAAAGTCCCCTATTATATACTGTGGATACATTACATGTAATTTTACGGTAGTATACCGTTTTTGGAAGCGAAAAAGACTGTATAATTTACAGTGAATAACTGTAAATTGACATTCCCAGAATTCATTAGATTTGCATTACATTTCAAATTTGATGTTTTTCTGTTGAAATAACAATGCTTCTTCTTAGTTTTTTCTTATCAGTTTTGTATATTAGGGTTGTGTGTTACACCTAATGTTGTTAAATGAATGTTTATTGCATTATTTCAGTTCCATGTGTGTTACCATGATGGTGTTTAGTGTTTGTGTGAATGACACGGTGCACCTTCTATATATGTTAATATTTAAAAGCTGCTTGCGATGGGCTTTGGTTCATCATGTGACTTTCTCATCACCACCTGCATTTGGTGGTTATCAGTGTATTAAAAAAGGTACAAAACAGATTTCAGTACTTCAATAGCTTGGTATATTAACATTATATCAGTTAATGAAATTACGGTATTTAACTGTAAATTTAAGTTAAAACCGTAAAACCTAAAACGTCGCTA